ATATATATATATATATATATATATATATATATATATATATATATATTGGTTCTCTTAGAAAAAATGTTAGATCCTTCTCAGTTCAAATGAATCTCCTTTTATCTTTGCTTGTGCCAGATATTTTTAACCGTATCATAATTTTTTGACAATCTACCTTGAAATGAGAAATGCACTATAAATAATAACACTAAAAAATTGTTGCACTATTAGCATGATAATGAAAAGAGCAACTAAAAACAATCATTCGTTAAAAAATAGATCAATAAGCTAAAATTATTCAGGAGTACACTATATTATAACATGTTAAAATATGACGAATTGCTATTGAAATGTTATTATTTTTTTTACAGCTTTTGAAACTCTCATGGCACGAAAAGAAAGTGATGGGCCAGAAGTCATAAAACTTCTAAAGGAATTTGAATCCGAATCTTGGTGCAAAGGTAAAATTCCTTTAAAGGATTACTTCTTTTTTTTTAGCTTCTCAAAAATCAATTTTTACTGCTACTTGATCAAATGATTCAATGCTTTAAAATAATTTTTAAAAAATAAAATAAAATAAGAAGTCATTCTTGACTTTTTAGAAACTTGGCAAAACAAGATGTAGATCATTAAATTCTTCAGAAATTTTAGTAGTTCAGTTGGTTGATTAGCTAAACTTTAGGTTATTGGTAACAAGGATGCGATTCTCCACCTTGATATCTCTTTTCCCCAAATTTTTTCCTTCCCCTACTGCCAACTTTTATAAGAAGTAAATATAATTAATTAATAAAAAGTGTGCTCTCTCTAACAATTTAAATTTTTAGATGAAACGTTTATACACTTCAATATGGTATCAGAGCCGACAAACCTCTTGGTTACGAACTTTATTATCAACTCCATATTTGCTATTATTATAACACATATAGAGTATATTTTTTTTCTCATTATAATCAATTATTTTGTGTATGTGTAGGAAAACAATTCTGGCCAGAACTTATTGGTGTACCAACAAAGCTTGCTAAAGAAATAATTGGGAAGGAAAATCCATCCATAAATGAATTTCCAATAGTATTGAATGGCTCTCCAGTCCCAGCTGATTTTAGATGTACTCGTGTTCGTCTTATTGACAACATTTTGGGTGTTGTTGTACAAATTCCTAGGGTGGCTTAATATAATGGATTATTGAAGTAATTAAGCAGCCACATATTAAAAAATAATTAGGGTTCATGTTGATTATAATGTCTCCATGTACTCTTACTATATATAATGGAATAAATAAGTGTGGCTTAGTTATATGTTCTCTCATTAATTAATTCCTTTTTACATATTGTTTATTACTATATCTGTTTCGATTTGTTTGATTGATTTTAACTTTATATCATAAAATAAAATTATCGGATTCTCATAAAACATCCTTAAAATATAGGGTTCTTGAATTGCAATTGTTAAACTAATCCCCACCCCCACTATACCCCAAAAATAAAAATGAAACGTGACAATGTGTTATAATCTCTTTGTAAACAAAAAAATCATTATAGGTGAGGAAAGATAAGTAAGTATTCATCTTTAATTAGAGGTTTAAGATTTGAACATAAATATAAAAAGACTTTTTTATTAATTGAATTCAAAACATATATTAAATATCAAATAATAAACTAAAAAAAAAGTTTTTTCCTACTTAGTGGATTTAAGGGAAAAACCCACTTTTGCCCCTTATCTGCGTATTGTCAAACATATATCAATGAATACAATATTGAGAAAATCGATTTGATCGATGTACATATCATTCAAAAATAATTTTAATGTATCAATGAATATGGGTGAACAAATAAAAATAAATAAAGACGAATATAGGTGGACAAATAAAAATAAATAAAGAAATTAAATAATACTATTTAATTTGGTTGTGTTTTTTAAAAAAAGGTGGATAAAATCTCCAAATAGGAGTTGGCGTCCTTAGCCAATAATAGAGTCGAAAACTTTTCTATATAAAAAAGATATATTTGTTGCTTCTTCCATTTCCTTACAAATTTTACAAAACATGCCCAGTTTTGGTCTGTACCAAAAAAATCTCGAATATAATTTATAAAGTCTAATTATTTTTTTAACTCAAATGGTGACATTAAGTTTGAGGGTTGTTCTATTCTAGTCCTTGTATATATAAAAATATAATATTTTTTTAACCCAAAATCCTTTTTTTTTGGTTTAAAAAAATCGTCTTATTAATTATTATAAAAATACAAAAGGAGAAACAATTTTTTTTAGTTACAAAATAAAATTTCAAAGATATCTAAAGAGTAAATGCATGATTGGTATATTGGATTCACATGCAGCTAAATAAATTGAAAGGCAGAATACTTGGGAACAATAAATCAATATAAAAATATTTACAATTGTAACACATTTTTTATGTGTTTTATATACCGACAAAATAACTCATAAATTAGAACATGTCATTAGGGGACCATAACAATTTTACTTTTGGTATCATTTCCTTTTTAGTTTTTTCTTTATGTTTCCTTCCTTCCATCACAATAATAACAAAAAATTAGCTACCAAATTATTATAAATTTGTCATTAAATAGCTCAAAATAAATATTTCTTATGATAATTTATCATTATTAGATAAAATGAGAGCTAATTGTCGCAAGATATCAAATACGCTTTCTGTCTCAAGTAATAGTTAGCTATTCAATATTCAAATTATGTGAATTTTAATTTACATTCGAAGAATAAACATGATATTAACTTAAATAATACTTTTTTATGGAGTGAAGAAAATAGTTGAGCGAAAATTGTAACCATATATAAAGAGTATGTAAATGCATCGTTAAAATGCATAATAATTAGATACATTATATCAATATCAAGTAACTATAATTATAAACCATATTACACGTGAATTCAATTTTCACTTTCGATCTCCCCTCAATTCTTCTATATAATTTTAAAAAATATTAAAACATAACAACTTTTTCCTTATCTTCAAATTGTTAAACATGTGGTTGTTATACACCACTAGCACCTCTCTACAATGAAGGCAACCTCTGCCTATAAATTAATGTGATACAACTTATACAAATTCACTCAATTCCTTCTACTCATTAGAACCACAAAGAAAATGGATTCAAAGTTTGCTCACATCATTGTTTTCTTTCTTCTTGCAACTTGTTAGTACCTCTCTCTCTCTCTCTCTCTCTCTCTCCTATATATATATATATATATATATAATATATATATATATCATATACACATTTGCAAGAATATTGTTAGAGTTGTAAATGATTTATATTACGTGTGTCGTATGGGTGGGTGAGGGAGAAGAATTTTTATAGAGAGTTCACCATATATTATATGTACATTAAAGAAGAGTTATGATCTTGTAAATTTAATGTGACTAACCGGCAAAGGAGGTTTGAATGAGCAACTTGTTCAATGGCTTGTCTATCGATATTCCTTTGCTAGATAAATTACATTATTTTAATATACTGACTTAGAAAAAATGTTAGATCCGTCTTAGTTTAGATGAATCTCCTTAATTCTACCATTGCTTGTGTCGTAGATTTTTAAGCATATAAATACACTATAAATAACAAAGTGGAAGAATTGTTACACTACTAGCATGATACTAATTAAACACAAGTATAAACAATCATTCATGAAGATAGATTAATAAGCTAAAATATTATTAAGGATTCATTATATTTATAACATGTTAAAATATAAAGGATAATATTTAGTTAAATGTATAACGATATTATTCTTATTGATTGCTATTTAAATATTATTTTTTACAGCTTTTGATACTTTCATGGCACGAAAAGAAAGTGATGGATCAGAAGTCATAAATCTTAAGAAATTGGAATCTGAATCTTTCTGCAAAGGTAAATTTTTTTTAAAGAATTACTTTTTTTTAATTTCTCAAAAAACAATTTTTGCTACTGCTAAAAATGATTGTTTTTTCTTAAAGCTTGGCCAAATACTTCAATGCTTTAAAAAAAAAGTCATTGAAACTTGGCTAGACAAGATGTAAATCATTTAATTCTTGAGAAATTTCAATAATTCAGTTGCGATTACTAAAACTTTTACATTATTGGTCATAAGTTTTTGATTGTCACCTTGAAATCTCTTTCCCTAATTTTTTTTCCTTCCCCAACTCCCAACTTTTTCTAAAAGTAAATATAATTAAGTAATAAAAAGCGTGTTCTCTTTAACAACTTAAGATTTTAGATAAAAAAAAATTATACACTATAATATGGTATCAGAGCGAGCAGACTTGCTGGTTACGCACTTTAATATTAACTCCATGTTAGATATTATTATATTACATATAGAGTGTATTATTCTTGTTTTTCCTTTCTCTAATGGCTAGCCTTCTCAAATTATAATCAATTCTTTCTATATGTAGGAAAACTAATCTGGCCAGAACTTATTGGTGTACCAACAAAGCTTGCTAAGAAAATAATTGAGAAGGAAAATCCATTCATTAATGATGTTCCAATAGTATTGAGTGGAACTCCAGTCCCATTAGATTATCGTTGTAATAGAGTTCGTCTTTTTGATAACATTTTGGGTGATGTTGTAGTAATTCCTGTGGTTAGTTAATTAATGGATCATTGAAGTAATTAAGCAGCCACAATACGTGAAAAAATAATTAGGGTTCATGTATGTTCATTATAATGCCTCCATGTACTCTTACTATATATAATGAAATAAATAAGTGTGGCTTAATTAAGTGCTCTCCTTATTAATTCATTTTAATATATTGTGTATTACTTCTTTTGTTTTAATTTGTTTATCTGATTTTGTTATGCTCTGCATGTAAGCAACGATTCGAGATGACCTAGGGCTATTTTTCTCCCAAATCCTCTCTTATCATTCATCTTCGACACCAAGATATGTTGATCTCATGTATCTATAGTATTTCTAAATAATCTCAATCTCTAGTGACGAATTTTATATAAGATTCTAACATCAAATCTCTCTCCCGTGTCTACCGAAAATAAGAACTCATTCTAAAGTTCAAAAGGGACTTTGGATTCCTTTTCTAAGTTAGGGTTTCAATAAGACTGATTCAAAGTATGTAAGACTTCAATGAGAGTATCCCGCGACTCTCATACCTAAAGTAACCGATTCTCAAGAATCTCACAAGATTGTTAGAAGTAAAGGTGGGGATTTTTATGAAATTTGGTCTTTCTTCATAAATTTCTATTTTCATTATTTCAATTTGATTTTAAGAACCTTATTGTACTGATTTAACATGATTTGTATGATTTATTATGCATTTATGACTTTAAAACATAAAAGAAAGTATGATATGATTTACAACCTAAATATATGTCATTTTAAGATATGATTTTTAAAACTAAAGAGTTGTCAAAGGTATTTTAAAACAAACTTAGTAGTAAAGTAACACAAACAGATTAAATTGGAAAGAGTATTTGTTAGCCGTTTGTCTTAATTGAATAATCTCATGATCAAATGACTAACTCTCCTTAGAGTCTTTCGATGACAAAGTCAGAAATTTTAAAAAGATGTTTAATCATTTTCAAAGTCTATTATTTATCAATAACAAGTACTATTTTATCGTATATAAACTATAATTTTCTAAATAAAGAGTATTGAGAACTCCTTGTTATTACTCTTTTTCAGTTTCTTTTGTTTTTCCTTGTTATTTTGTCTGTTTGTATTTGTGCTCTCTTATCGGTGAAATGTATAAACATAAAAAAAAAGATCTATCTTTAAAAGTATTGCGTTCAAGTGAATTCAAAAATCAATCGCTCTATATCTTTCTTTAGACTTAAAACATCTTTGGGATCATAGATAAAATTAATGTGTGATAGCTATGATTTGAATCGCAATTAGCAAACTTGTCTCCCACCCGTCACACTTTAAAAATAAAAATTAAACGTGACAATGTATTTGAGGGGCCAGTAGTAAGAAAAATTATCACCATAGTGTGCAAAAAAAAGTATACTATCTACTTTGGTCAGAGGTTTTAGGTTTGACCACAAAGAACTTCTCACATAAATTTATTTGAATTGAATTCCGATATCAAACACCAAAACAAAAACTAAGTAAAAATAATGACACGCAATTGATAAGAATATGAAATCTACCTACCCTTTGTTATAATATAAAGTAGTCAAGTTATCGATAAATTAAGAGATAAGTGTCAAAAATACGCCTAATGTTTCATTTTTTTTAGTTTCATATTCAAACTATGGGAGTGTGAAATTCATACCTAAACTATTGCATATTAGTTTGAAAAACACACTCTCTCTTTTATTTTTTTATTTTTAAAAATAATACATCACACTCTACTTGGACAAAACATCTTACTTTGACAAAAATTAAATAAATTTTTAACACTCCGTTTCTAAATTTTTTTTCTCGTTTTGTGTTAGATGATTTTTAGGAAAATTTTGGTAACGTGCTGCAAGATTTTTTAAAAATTAACTTTTTTTATTAATGTTATATTCGGTAAGTAAATATAAGAAAAATATTTCTAAAAATATATGTATATATGTAACAAAAAATGAGGAAAATGTCAATAAATAAATCAATTGGGAGCGAGGGTTACAGTTATATTTGGTGGGGTAGAATTTATTAGTTTTTTTAAAAAATAAAATAATGTATATATTTTTGGGAAAATTACATAGGATGGCAAACATCCTTAAGTAATTATATAATAAGGA